CAGCCGGCGCGCCAGCGTGTTCGGCAGTCGCTGTGGGGGTGCTCGGCGTGCGGGCGCGTATCTTTCGTTCCTGGTCCGCTGTCGCAGCCGGTCTTTTTCCGGAGCCGTGACAGAGTGGGCGCACGCCCTTGTGTGTGTGTGTGTGTGGTGAACGGGACTCAGGGCAGAGGCGTTCCCCTGCTGCCTTTTTTTTTCCTTTTACCCAAAGAAGGGGCAGTTCGCATGCTTGCCTTCCTCCTTCCCCCTTGGGAGAAGGGTTGGTGTGCGGAGTGGTTTATCTTTTTTCTTTTAAACTTGTGAGCTTTTTTTTTTTCTTTTTTCCCCTTAGGCTCAGCGTCGCCTGGGCTGGTTTCCCCGGTCCCTGACTAACCACTTTCTGCCTCTTCTCGCCACCCCGCCCAAGGTCTCCCCTCCGCCGTCGTGCCCGGCCCGGGAGGGTGGGAAGCCTTGTCCCGCACCCTGCTCATCCGCGTCTCCGCTGCTGTAGCCGCACCTGCCTCAATATGAACGGGGTCAACGACCCGCTTCTTTTTATAAAAGATATTAAGCCCGGACTGAAAAACTTAAATGTCGTCTTTATTGTCCTGGAGATAGGTAAGTGGGTGCCGCGGCCGAGCCCAGTGCGGCCGGGGCGGAGAGGAAGGTGCAGGCACCGCGAGCCGGGGCCCGCTCCTTTCCCCTCCCCTCCTTTCCGCGTCCTCCTCCCCTCCCCGCCCACGTGGCCCCACGGCCCCCGCCCGGGCTCAAGGCCCGCCTGCGGCAAGAACCCGGCGTTGGGCCAAGCCTGTCTTCCCATCTTCCAGATGCGTTAAAATTCTCGAGGAGGAGTTGGTGAACCTTTTTGGAAGTGCTCATTATCTAATACACTCCCTCCTCTTGATTTTTACATTCTCACAGGACGCGTGACCAAAACCAAAGACGGCCATGAAGTGAGATCGTGCAAAGTAGCAGATAAAACGGGCAGCATCACTATTTCCGTATGGGATGAGATTGGAGGTCTTATACAGCCAGGGGATATTATTCGGTTGACCAGAGGGTAGGTGTGCATTCAGGTAGGGGGGGAAGTGCTTCATAAATAACAGTCTGCGGAGTCGGGATCGGCCGACTCCAGGGACCACGTCGTTTCAGTGGTGGACCACTGTAAGGAGTTTTAAGCCCCTTCTGTGTTAACTTCGAATGGTGGACAGCGTTCAGCCTTCTTAAAGCAGTCCTTTTCCTGCCGGGAATCACCCCCTGCAATACACAACACAACACAACACAACACAACCACCCACCCACCCCATGCGCTTTAGAAGTATATTCTGGGAGTCATTGAGGCTTTTTAGTGAATTGATGTACTGAATACTCTTTTTCATAAATTATTGAATTCAGTGTAGTTTTTACTCAGCTCTCCCCTTTCCTCCTCTTTTTAATGACTTGAAATCTTGCCAACATTTTACTTGTACGTATGTTGTTATATAGACGATGTGGACATAACATTGAAGTTGGGGGAATTTAGGAGTTTCTGTGGTGTGTCAGATAATTTGTACTCTGTGTAAAAGTTAAGAAGGGACGTTTACAATACATGGAAGGTACATTCTAGAAAATGACTTCTGTGCCTTCTGATACAAGTTTGGTGTTGTACCAAACCAAACTGAGAAAATATCTGGCAGAAAGACATCTGTATTTCCATCCAGAAGAATCAGTTGGCAGATTGGTGACTTTAAAAAATAATTCACAAACTTTGTTTTGGTACAAATACCAAGGAATATAATTTAAAGGAAAATTTAAAACTGAAGAAGCTCTACTACTGACTGTTAGTTGTTTTGGTTGGTAATTAGACTGCCTTAAAGAATTTACCAAATCTTTATCTTAGGGAGATAAAGGGCCAGAAGAGGGTCTAGAAGCTAGAATTTGGAAGCTTTTTTGATCAATAGAATTGTAATTGTTTATGTTTTTAGCTATAGATAGGAAGAAGCGGGTGCAGATTGATGTTGGCATAGTAAATAGTGTCAGAGAAGTATTTGAGCACCCTGAGTGTAGGAGCTTAGAGCGCTTTGATATTGTCTTAGAGGCCTTACAACTTCAGGAAGTGATCATCAAAGGAGGAAGTAAGAGTCACGACTTAGACATCTTATTCTCGTACACTGACTCATTGTGACACTAATGGTTTCATAGAAATGTCCACATCCTTAATTTACCCAAAAGAGGATTTAGGATTTCTAGCTGGAAGGGTATGGTGAGGATTAACAAAAAGTTTTTTGGCTCCCAAAGTATCTTTCATCCAGTGATTAAAAGTACTTTATAAATTGCCAATGGCATATCAGATATTTTATTTTCTGTAGTCACAGAAATCATAGACGTTTCCATCAAAAAATCTGAGAAAAAGTTAAATTCAGTAGGTATATATAGGATTTTAAGGAGCACAATTACCAAGGAGTATAATTTAAGGAAAATTGAAAACAAAAGAAGCTCTACTACTAACTTCATTGCGACCTTGAGAAATAATTACACTTCTTCAACTTCCTCTTTTGGAAAATAGGAATAATTACAGTTTACTAAAATAACACACCCAGCTTGGAATCTGGCCCATGGGGAGGCCCTTAAATTCTGGTTGAATCTAAGAAAGTAGCATTTGAAGAAAGGCATACCTGACCGTTTTGCTTCAGTAAGGTGGAATGTTAATGGATTCTCTGAAACCACTCTTTATATAAGAATGGTGTGTGGAGTCTTTAGTAAATGACTCTTATTAAGATGATGAGAGCTGTATAATGTGGAAATAGCAAGTTTTTATTAATCTGTTTTAAAAGATGAACTATCATGGCATTTGGTTAAACAATATTTGGTTAAAATTTACCATTTTTAAAGTCATGAAGATTTCATAGTAGTTGAATGAAGAACTATTGAAAACCAAACCTGGACTGATCTTACAATTTTGATTAACTTACATTTTTCTTAGATTTGTTTCTAGGATTATTTTTTTTTTTAATCTAATAATGCTGTCAGAATTCAGAATTGTTCAGAGTAAACAATTGTTCGAGAAGGCAGATAGGTTAAAAAAAAAAAAAAAAGTGACTTTTTTTTAGCACCTTGATTACATTCTACCCAAGTCTTCAGCAGCTTGGGAACCATGTCTTTTATGGAGGCAGAGGAAAAAAACTGTTGGCAGTATCTGATTAGACAAAGTGAGTGAGTGTTAAGGGGAGCATCATAGTGTTGATTTTATATATCCTGTGGCTGAAGATAATGTCTGCTTAAATTTCTGCAATTAGAAGTTCTCTGTTAAGTGACTAAAGTTGTGAACTTTCTGGGATAAAACAACGCTTGCTTTGCAAAAAGGCATTTCGATTATTTTCTAGGGTTGGTCAGTTATAATTTAGAAAATTTTATGTCAAGATTGTCAATGGATTTTTTTTTTTTTTTTTTTTTGGTATTCCTTAGTAAGTAGCAAGTTGGTCAAAATTAGATTTATTATATTTGATTTATTGTGGTAGACAGGCAGGGCTTGATAAACACTCTGTCCCAATACAATAAAAAAGACAGTGTAAATTAAGGATTGACTTGCTGGAAGTAGAAGGCAATATACCTATTTCTAAAAAAAACTGATTTCATTCTAGGTATGCATCCATGTGGAAAGGATGTTTGACACTTTATACTGGAAGGGGTGGTGAACTTCAAAAAATTGGAGAGTAAGTATTAAAGTGTGTTTTGTATAATTAAGTAAATTAAAAATAATGTCTGCAGGGTAACTGGTAGGTATAAACTACTTCCTTGGATTTTTTTGACGGGCAAACTGAATGCCTTTGGCAGCTTAACTGAAAAAATAATTTTGTTTGTTTGTACTAGTTTAACAGCTGTCAGTACTGTTTCCTGTGCTTGAGGGTGTCAGTTTTTCCTGGCAAAGAGCAATAAGAAGCTGCACTTGAGACCAGCCCCAGTAGGGCTGTTTCTGTAGGCTTTAGGAACATGTATCTTTTAGGGCTCACAAGTGCTATTTAAATTAGGTTATCACTTATAGTGATTCACCATATAGGAGGCTAGGTATGAGTTTCAGGTCATACGTTTAATTTTTTTCTGTTTATGGGTGAATGCGTAGTTGTGTTAAAAGGACTTGCAGCAATGAAAATTGAAGTCCTCTATTTATCCACAGTCTAGGTATGGTGCAGGCAGCCGCAATGCGAGCTTCCATACACTACTACTTGGTAATGATCTCCACCCTGACCTGGAGGAACCATCCTCTCTAGGGGTGTAAAGGTAATTCAGCCTTCATGCAAGCTTAGACATTTGGGTTGTACTCAAAGTGTGCTATAGGCAATGAGCCAGATCATTTGTCTATGCTATTTGGTTAATGCTCAGACATTGACTTAATGCCTGTCAAATTTTGGAGGACATTTAAGAGAGGAGCCACAAATGACACCAAAAAAAGGGAAAACTCCACACTGAGGGATAAAGTACTTTGTTTGGAGAACCTGATATTAATGAAAAGAAAAACATAAGCAATCTTGCCAGCTTTTAACGATTAGAAGCTGGTAATACTTTGCCTCCTCTAGGAGGAAAATTAGGACTCAGGTATGTTTGTACCTAGAGCAGTATCGTTAGAGCAAGGCATTATGAAAAGTAGTGGCAGTATTACAGAAAGGTTCAGGATCCTGTCCCAGCTTTTACACATGGAGAGGTGCTTATGAATAAACAGTTATGTGAAGAACCACTGGAGGTCATTCAGTTGTTAAGACTGCTCTTTGTCAGTGTCAGTCTAGGATTTACCAAAACTGGTTTTAATTTCTTTTTTGGTGGTGAGCAGCTAATAACATGCTATGTGTAATGTTAGCACACACCGTTCAGTCAACTTATAAGAAAAACTGGGAATAACTGTTGGTTGGACAGCTATATTAATTCATGGCTGCAGAATTCATTCTTACCCTTGAATGATTATCTTTGCAGATTCACAGTGATTGGTCATAAGAGGGACTGGATGAGAGTGTGTGGATGGATCAGTGCAAATCCATCTCCACTGCTGGAAAAACCACTTTGGAACCCTAAACATGGTCTAAACATCAACCTGTGTGGAAAAACAGGACAAAGATGTGTTTCTGGGTCCTTGATCTTTGACGTATATTTTTTGCAGTTTAGGGGAAGAATTAAAATAACATAGTAGAGTGTTTTATTATGCATCAAAGACGATCAAATGTTTGATGTTTTTATTGGAGATAAGCACTTAGGAAGTCTTTGTTGTGTTTGAATAGAGCTAGTTAGCGTATTGCTTTTTAGGTAAT